GGTCCCATCAAAATAAAATCCCAAAAGTCCCCAAGCAAAGAAACTGGAGCAGAAGTTGTGGTTGTAAGAAATTTGATTCCGAAAGTTGTAATTTTGAACCCATTTGAATTGTTTTGAGCCTTTTGACACCCTTTCTTTCTAACCCTATCCAAAAGCCCATGTTACGGTCCAAATAAAGACCTTCTGATCAGTCTTCGAGAGATGCCAAGTCGAGCAAGTAAAAGTGATTCATATTAGGGGCAACACTCTGGTCCAAACAGGAAAATGAAAAATGAGAGAGTCTTATTGGTGAAAACCCTCACGGGCACCGTAAGGCGACGAGAGCTGAGAGAAATAAAAAATGAGAGAGTCTTATTGGTGAAAACCCTCACGGGCACCGTAAGGCGACGAGAGCTGAGAGAAATAAAAAATGAGAGAGTCTTATTGGTGAAAACCCTCACGGGCACCGTAAGGCGAAAGTGAGTTGAGAGATGAATAAATGAGAGAGGCTTATTGGTGAAAACCCTTCAGGGCACCGCGGGCTGAACAAGGTCAAGGTTTTGGCGAAGAAGTCAGGTTATGGAAACTCCGGTGCAACAAAGTATGGCAACTGAAAGTTGATTGGTTGGACAGATTGGGCCGATTAATCCGAAATGCATGTCATGATCATTGGTACCAGCTGTTCCACTCAGATAAGTCTCTTTCCCTTTTCCTTTTTAGCAAGTCACTCAGTTTTGGATTTTCTTTATCCTTAACTCTCAAGGTCATTGCAGTTCAGTTCTTTTGGGTTTCATTTCTCTAAGATGTTTCAATGTCAGTCTTGGTCAAGCAAATAAGAAAGGATTTCAAAGCTCACTACCAACTTCAAAAATTGCAAAGCACAGTATGGCCAGAACATACCAAAGATAGTATGATGTAAAGTGGGATATAAAGTTCCAGCGAAAGTTCCATCGGCGGAATGATTTAGTAATTTCATGGGAGATGCAGAGGTTCAGTTAAAGGGGTCAGAGGTGTAAAACAACGGTTCGGGTATAGAACACTCAGTTCATCTGAGGCCATGTGGGTTAAAAGTCAGTCAGAAAGTCAAGCGGTTCAGGGCCAGTTCGGGGAAGCCCATCAAAACAAAGCACGACAGCGGGGAAACCTTCAGCAAGAATGCCATCAATTAACCACCACATTTTAAACTGACAAGATTTTTCTTTGATTGAAATATGGGCAGAAAGTTTCGTTGTTTCGGAGAAACCCTCCGTAAGGAAAGGCAAGCACCAGACAGGTTTGACCGTAAATTTTCAGGACCCTCCTGGAAAATGGGACCTAGTTTAAAATTCAAAATAATCAGGAGTAGCATAATCTAGCATAAATGTACCCCAAAGGAATATAAGTTGTCTTCAAAGTTTGCATGTTTAAGATAGGATTTAATTAGGAGTTTTCAGGACCCTCCTGGATAATGGAATGTAGTTTTAAAACTTGCTTGGATAACAAGACTTAGCATAAGATATACCTTCAGAAAACATAATTTAGCTTTAAAATTGTCATTTAAATAGGAGTTGTCAGGACCCTCCTGGATAATGGGACCTAGCTTTCAAATTCTTAGTAATATTTGGTAACATGATTCAGTTTAACACTCAAATATGTGCCCAGCTACCAAACTGGGGCAGGAAATTTTCTTTGTTTTGTCTATTTTTGCTGAAATCAGGTACCCACTTGGAGAACAGGGAGAATACAATTCAAGTTCAGTAGTCAGGCGCCCACCTGGAGAGCACGGGAATACAGTTCAAGTTCAGCTATCAGGCGCCCACCTAGAGAGCACGAGAATACAATTCAAGTTCAGCAATCAGGCGCCCACCTGGAGAGCACAGGAATACAATTCAAGTTCAGCAGTCAAGCGCCCACCTGGAGAGCACGGGAATACAATTCAAGTTCAGCAATCAGGTGCCCACCTGGAGAGCACGGGAATACAATTCAAGTTCAACAGTCAGGCACCCACCTGGAGAGCAAGAGAGTATAATTCAAGTTCAGTAGTCAGGCATCTACTTGGAGAAAGGGAAAGCATCTTAGAGTACAATTCGAGTTCAATAATCAAGCGTCCACCTGGAGAAAGGAAAAGAATCTCAGATTACAATTCAAGTCGGCAACAAAGGGATTTCACCGGGAGAATACAAGTCAACAAGGCAACGAGAACCACAAGAGCAAGTTTGAAGATGTAGATAGGATATTTGTAATGCATAGATCATAGTCTAGTCTAGTTTCTTTTTATTTATGACATGATGTAATAAGGGGTTCAGTAAGCAGTAGCAGCAACAACAACAGTGAAATCATAGCTTCATCGTAGTCCCAGCTACCAAACCTTCCCGAACTACACTGACCTAATTTCTTTATAGCCAAGAATATGTAGGCAACCTCGGAAGCAGGATGCGGTCAAATCTTTCAAAAAATGCTTCCCACGGAGTATTCAAACGGGCAAAAATCACTCGTATTCGCTCACTTTATCTTTACACGAAAACTCTTCGTATTTCCGAGCAAAGAGGGGCAACACTAACTCGATTTCATAGTCATTTCCTTTGATCCCACAAGTGTATGAAGTAATATGCTCGTTAGGGCCGGTTGTCCCATTATATTTAGGTATATCGGGCATGCGAAACTTCTTGGGAATGGGCATCGGAGCCGCACTCGGGGGGAATGGTTTTTGTATAAGCTTTTTGGTGTCTAGACCTTTCAAAACTGGAGGTGCCCCCGGTATCTGGTCTACCCGGGAGTTATAAGTTTTCACCTTCTTATCATTGTCTTCAATTTTCTTTTCTCCGAACTCAATCCTCTTAGTTAGTTCCTCTAGCATTCTCATAATTGTGGGGTCAGTCCCCAAGCCACTTTCATCGGGACTTTCCAGCGCTGGTTTAGTACGCCGAGTGTTTACTGGTTCAGCTGTGTTTGGAGGTCTATTCTGACTCTGAAGTTGAGCGATAGCGATTTGCTGAGCTTGCAGCATCTCGAATATCACTTGGAGGTTGACTCCCCCATTTCCCATTCCTTGTATTCTTTGGTCACTGGATCGGGCTTCCCTGTGTATATTTCCTTTGGGGTCCACGCCTAGATCTGCATTCAAAACGATGTACGAACTAACATCAACAGGTTCCACATTTGGTACTTCCCCTGGGTTTATCGGTGGTACATCGACTCCTGTGTTGCTATTTTCTCCAAGACCTTCGTTGCCATGAATGGGTGAGTTTTGTGAGCTAGACATATTTCAACCTAAGAATCCAAAAACCTTGACAAGACTAAGTGTAAAAGCAACGTGTGTAACGAGAATAAGTAAAGAAATAATCACTATTATCTTTAGCCCCACGGTGGGCGCCAAACTGTTTACCTCGAAAATACGAGTAACAATTAAACTTGATTTGTGGTTTTAAAGATATGTGATTTAGTTCAATACCAATTAATAATCAAGAAATATGAATTAGAAATGAATGAGACAAGTGAATCAAACCAGTGTTACTCAACAGCAGTGACCTCGAGGTGGGCTTAGAACAGTAAGAACAATTAAGTAAGAAAAATAATGTAAGAACAATAGAGCTAAGGACAATTCTGATGAATAGTAGGCCAAAAAGTAGAGAGTATATTATTTTCTCAATGATTAGATGATGTTACAAATGATTGGGGTCCCCTTTATGTATTAGGGGAACCCTAAATAAGGAATATTTCCATTTACAGTAAGGAATATCTTGGTACAACTGTCTAACCGCCTAGTATGGAATCACACAATCCTATTCGGGGATTTGCGCCATGACTTTGGGGATGTGGCAGGAATCTAGCTCATTCCGGTACAAATCCATAACGGTACCATTTCGGGGTCGAGCATACTTGGCCCTGGTATCCCTCGAACTCCTATCTCCGGGCACTGCACTTCTGTCTTCGAGCTCAAGTCTGGTCAGCCGATTTCGAACTCGACCTCGCTCGGACTCGGACCTAGGACGGACCTTCGAGCCTATAAATCGAAGGCATGCGATTTTGACCGTATACAATATTACAAATAATTATCCGTAATGAGTGAAACCAGCTACGATTCCTCAGTTTAATTGGAATACTATGAACAGCAGTACTTTATAGGTGGCAGAAATTATTGGCATTTAGGAATTAAACACATTATTAGACCTAAATAATAGAAAGGTNAAATCTTTCATTTGGTTCTCTCTCAGTTTAAGGACAACTAAGCACGTCTATTACAGAAAATCCAGTAGGAGTGGCATATTCTGTCAACTAATATTCGTTAAAAGCTGAGTTAACATGCAACCTAAGCAGCTACTTTATCCTGCAGATCTTGTTCATTAGCTGTTTATAAGTAGGGAGATTAAAATTTTAACGATGAAGATGGAATGGATCCAAAAGTTGTTTTTATATAGATGATGATGTTATAACCCGCTTGCATTCAAAATCACTCGCTTGTGATTGTAGTCATTCGCTGAAAAGACGAAGTATGGATGTAATTCGGCTCAAACAAAGTGAGAGAGGTAATAAATTATTATCGTTCAGTTCATATGACAGAACAAAGCTTATCAGGTCCCAAGAAATGATCATATGGCACCAAATCAACATGACGCATCTACCTTACACATGTAGAGATACAAGGTAACTCTGCTCACCAAGAAGTGATCATATGGCTAAAAGTCACTTTCTTTTTTTCAACTGGAATTCAGACCTTGGTCTCCCATGTTTGACCCACTTGAACTACCAATAAATCCAAAACTATTCTTACACATTCCCATATAAAGAATTATTTATATTAATATATTTTGAAAACAAGGACTTACTAGATAAAATCCTATATAGTGATAATGATATGCAAATGAATACAAGCCATGCTTCGCATTAAGCAATAACCATAGAGATCGCAATTACCTGGCTTCAGGGTCACCAAAAATCAAAGCTAGTTAATCAATCAAAGCAATGAGCAAAATTGGCAACCTTGTTATCAAGGATTTCTATGTATAAAGTATAAACAAAAGCAATAAAAGAACACTATAAGGTCAGAGAAAATGCAACACAAGAATACATATGAATAAATTAGTCCCTATCCAAAAATTTCCCAACATGAGGAAAAGCCCAAAAAATGTGAAATATTATCTGGGAGCATAATCAGAAATGGTGTACACTATGGAATATAGAGTTATGCACAACTTTAAACTAATAGCAGCTCCCTCCCCATTTGTCGAACAGACATGCCGGATCCTGAAAAGATCTTCTCTAAGAAGTATATACAAAACAACCCTTCACTCCCCAAATCTGAGTACTCATCCAAACATTCAAAATAGTTTGTAGGAGACATAATTGTTGGACATCTTGCAGAATCCTCAATATGGGCTTCACAAGGAGCAATGCGAAACTGCACCCTCGACATTTACAAAAAAGAAAAAAAGAACTTAACCTTCCCAGATCAGCCACTTTCTCTCATGCAATTACCGGGCAATAGAAACTTATATCGATCTGCATTTTCCAAAAGAAAAGCTGGAAGGTGAACGGCTGAGTAGGAGTGCAGAATAGGTCCCATTTTGCCTATGATCTCTCTGAAAGTGTACTCCTCCGGTAGCATATCAAATAAATCAGCCCCTTCGCAAATTACCTTTTGCACTCTCTTTGGATTCAGAAAATGAGAAAATCTGACCCTGTCAAAATGGCTGTAGGCTTTCATCTTGAATATAAACTCACTTATGAGGCGGAAACAAAAGCTACAATGCCACCCTGCATCCGCCAAGATGATATCTGACTGTCGAAAATGAGCATACCTCGTCTTACCAGATTGGTATCTGTGTACAGAAGCTCTCCAGCTATTGTTATCGACAAGGAATTCAAAAGAGTAGAGATAGTTCTTCAACCGAAGATGAAGAACTGCAGGTATGTCATCGCACCACCTCAAGAGATTGATGGTATGTCTACTAGGTATCTCATCAACATCCGACATTATCAGCAAATCATCATCCTGAATACCAGCTTGTTTGAGGAGATAATCCAATGCAAGTCTCTGATAAGCTTCCTCAACAAAAGGATTCTCTCCTTTCCTAAATCTCCCCGGGATTTGTCCATATGTCAGTCTTGATTCCACAAAGTCAAACTGATCTCTGTGATTAGCAAAGTACGAAGGCTTTGGCAATCCGGTGAATGTTGAATTTGATTCAAGCAAAACAAACTCTGTTATATAAGGGTATAACTCCTTCCACCGTATGGTAAGCATCTCCACCTCATTACTAAACAACACTGCATCAAAGACACGCCTAGGGTACTCACGAATTCCCCACCCATGAAGTTTACAGAGATTCTCCATTGACACATTCTCATGATAATAGTGAGGCATTTCATGGAAAGGCTTTGGCGGCTTTTCCCACAAAGGCCGTAGGAAGTAAGTGATTTTCTGTCCATGAACATATATACCAAAGATACTAGTTGGCATCAACACAAAAAGAAAGATATATGTTTTCAGGTCCAAGCCACGAAGGATGCATTTTAATCTCGTCATGCTCAAGGCTCGACCAGCGTCCTGCAGTCAACAAAACCATGGTTTGAGGAAACTAAGAACCGAGGATAGTACTCATCAATGGTACAAAAAAGCATACACATCCTGTATCCCAGAGCTCTAATTCATAGGCAAAAAAGCTATTGAATACCAAAATAAACTACGGTATTTTAAGTTTGCAGAGCACACATTAAGTAGAAGCAAGATAAGTCCCGAGCAGAGAAAGAAACCTCATCGTATCCTGTCGCAAATTAAGACAGGAACAAAAAACGGGAAAGAGGTAGGGGATTATTCAGTACCTAACCAGATTGTATTGTGCTCATTATTCCTGGGCTACACCTAGCTTAGCCTATCCAATATCCGAGATGTCCGTGGGTAAGCAACCGCTGCTTATCAATTAATAGAGCCAGCTCCACGTCCGAGCCTTCGGCTTCTTAGGCACATGAGGAAGCAGCCTAACATCTTTTCAATCGAAATCCCAATCAAAGACAAGTTCTACCAAGGCCACCCCACGATGAGTAATTCCAGATATATGCTTAAAACAAAAATTATGCTTCAAGCAAAAGTAGAGAGATACTTGGTGCTACGGTAAGAAAAGAACAAACAAACTTGGTGAAGGGGCACTTTCATTTAACATAAAAGGAAAGTACGATGAAAAGGAACAATCTAGAAGGCAGAATTCTCACAATCTCCTTCTCCTTGATCAAAATGATTAAAAAACAGCCAAAGAAAAAGGAAGCAGAGCAGCATAGCATACAGGAATATAGAACCTCGAATCAAATCAAATCTAGCTTCTTTTTTTGAAATACGGGCTAATACTTCAAACATTCTTTTGTATCTAGAAAATTAAAAACAGAAACAGGAAAAATAAAAGCAAGGAAACCAAGAATGCAACCGCAGAAACAAATCTAAAAACATTAATCAATGATTTGACATATACATTAAGGAGAATATAAAATAGTTGAAGAGGAAAAAGAAAAGGAGAAAACTTTACCTCATAACAAATATCATCCTTCTTCTTAGAACAATACCCAGATTCCCCTTCAGACAAGATATAAACTTTCTCCCAAAATCTAGTGATACCCCACATCTTTCTCCTTTTCTCTAACTGTATTTCTATCTAACCCCCTTCAATTTACAGATCAAACGCCAAATCAACCAACAATTCCACTTGTAATGCAACCTGCAAATCAATCAACCAAATAGTTGATACCACCTAGTTCCGACTCAGAAAAAAGTGGAAAGATTTATAAGTAGAGCAACCAAAAATATAAAAAACTAGATTATTTTCAAGCCCTTGAAAATAGTAGTGACCCTGAAAGAATGAGTTGAAGAATAATAGTAAAAATAAAAAAGATATAATAATAAAAGTAAAAATAGGGAGGAATTTGCGGAAGAATGAAATTAGGAGACAAAAATATAGGCCAGAAAGGGTGAAGTGTTTTTATGGGGTGGGCAGTTGTAAAGAAGATTTGAAGGAAGCCGTTTCTCTTGTCTTCTACCCCACTTCTACCGGCTAATACAACAAATCATTTGTTTCTCTTCTTTTTATTTTCAATTAGGGTACGATAATACCCTTTACATTACATATTTAAATATAGTATGAAGCAAAATATTTGTATAAACGGTGCCGACCAGTTAGAATTATCTTAGAAAGCCTCAAATATTGATTATTAAATTTAAATAAGTTTAAATAAAGATAATAAAATTCATATAGTCAGCATTAGGGGTGGTAAAATAGTTAAAAGAAAACAGTTAACCACCCATATTATTCACTAAAAAATGAGTTGGATGATGAACTTCTTAAAAACGGGCAAATATGGATAAGAACTATATTATCTATTTAGAAAATAAATAATCAATAATTAACCAATGGATAATCAATGGGTCTAACTTTTACATTTATAAACTCTTAACTTGGGGGTTCTTCAAGTTAAAGAGACTAACAATTCTACCAAGAGTGATCATATGCAAGAAGTCATGTATTATCCGCCAGTTAATCCGTTTTTTATCCGTATTAAATATGGGTCCGATAATTTATCCGTTTTTTCACTACCCGTTTTCGACCTAAACTATATCCGACTCGGTCCGCCCGTTTGTCACTCCTAGTCAGCATCAACTAACTTAAATATAAAACACTTATCGATATAATTATTCATCTAATCATAATTGTCTCTAGGTAAATGGATAATTTGAATTGAGAAATAATTTATCTTATTCATTTATTTCATTTTATACTGTTGATATATTATTTAAAAAGTAATATAAACTCTCTCACATTTTTAAACTAGTAAGGTTATGCCCGGGCCCAACGGTGAGTAATTCGTGTCTAAATTTATATCTTGATTTAAAGATTTTTCTGTTAGTTCTCAATGGTAGGAACCTTCTGCTTCCTAGTACTATTCAAAAATTGTTAAGTGTCTTAAAAAGGCCTCAGAATTGGCTATATTCACCGAATAGAATGAGGCAACTTAAGTGGTGGAACATGTTTAGTTTAACTCTCCAATAGTTATTTATTCTGTTCTAAGATAATTTCATATATATATTTTTGTTACATGTCCATGGAAGTACTTCCAGTTACATAAAAGTAAGTTATGTATCAAATAAATATTATAATAAAAGTTATAACCAAATTAAGCTTTGCGATAAAATAGAGTGCATACCTTTGAACTTAAGATTTTATTTCAGCTGAAGGCAGAATTCATATATAATAGGCATTGATCAGCATTTGAGCATGTCTTTTAAGTTAAGGCATGTCTATGACGTGCACCTCTCTTTCTCTCTCTCAAATTGTTTTGAGGTAGTGACTTTATCTTTTTCTTTCGTGTAAAATTAGAATGTTTGAGGTTGCGATAACTTTAATAATTCCAACGAATGTTCTTTTAGCATCTTCATTGTACTAATTTTGTCAAACCTAGTATATTTTTTGTCCATCCAATGTATGGTAATTTCTAGAGCATCAATGGAGCCTCTTTTTTTGGCTATTTATTATCGACATCTCCAATTATTTATTATATAAATTTATTATTTCTTAAATAATATAAAATATACATAATTCAAATATGATAATTCAATTTTTATATTGCAATACAAAGAATACTTATGTGTAATGTATATGCTATTATTTCTCTTCGTACTTTCACGGGTATATCATTTAGCTCATCCTCACAGTAAGCATAATTTTTTTTTTGGTTTTATTTAAAATTATTATTTGCATCCTTCACATTTTACATGTGTTGAAAACTTTTCAATCCTATTAAGTAACAAAACCTATATTCCTCTAGTTATTTTCTAGCAACATCCTCTTTGTACTGATTTTGTATATGGATGGTAATTTCTAGGGCACCCATGGAGCTTCTTTTTTTAGTTATTTATTATTAACTTCTCTAATTATTTGTTATCAAAATTTGCTATTTCCTTAAAAAATATAAAATTTGTACAAATTCAAATGTGATAATTAAATTTTTATATTGAAATATAAAGAACATTGTGTAATGTATATGCTATTATAGAGTAGTCTTTTTGGCACTCTCGCGGATATGTCATCCAACTCATCTTTTATCTTCTCATTAAGCATAAACCTTTTTTTGGTCTTATTTATATTATTTGTATCCTTCATGTTTTACATGTATTGAAAACTTTTTAATCCTACATCATTAATAATAAAATATGTATTCTACTAGTTACTTTCTAGCACTACTAACATATTAATTTGATTAGATTACCTAATTTAATTTATATAAATATTAGTAGTACCTTTTATGTAAAGTTTATTGATCTCCCTTTTCCATTTCAAGATTAGGACTCCAACCTATATTCTAACCATATAGGTTTCGTAGTAATTTGCTTGTCCTTTTTAACTCTACAATGCTAAGATGGGTTTTCTTATTTTACATTTATTCCATCTATTATGATATAATTTATTTCATTTTATGTGATACTTTTTTAAATCAGTTGAAAAACGCTATGTTTATATAATTTAACTTTAAAATGCTCAGTGTATCGTTAATGATATAATTTCTGGCTGACAAAAATATTTATGAATTATTCTAGACCACAAGTGTCAAAAGTGATCCTTTTTTCTTAAACTTTGTGATCAGTCAAACACCATCACATAAATAAGGACAGCGTAACTATATAATTTTGTGCAAAATCTAAGACTTAATTAAAAGCCCTACTAATTAAACTCGTCATTAGTTTATGCAGTGATTTTTTTCTTATATAGTCAAACAAAAAGTGCATTGTTGATGTGAAAATTATTTTTTCTAATCTTTCCAATCAAACTTTGTGCTATTTTAAGAGGAAATTTATTTTGGAAATATTTCTCCTAATCTTTCTAAACGGAAGACCCCTTAATAATACTGCTAAAAAGATTAGCATTAGAGTTGTCATGTTGTACTAATTTTTTTGAGTGTTAATCAGTAAATCTCTGAATGGTTTGAGGCTAACAAAATAAGTTTTATTTGTTGAAGTGTTAGTCTCATAGGACTTCTCACAAAATTTGATATGTTTTTCCATCTATTATAATTTTCACGTTTTATGGAGTAATCAATGGTTAATTCAGTTGCTTTTTAGGAGGAGCCTAAATAACTCATTTTACTCACAAAAAAATTGCTCAAATGGATGTGTCAAAATAGTGATAAAATAGTGATGTACATTGTAAGGCGGGTCCCACATAAACAAAATAGCCTTAAACCAGTGTTGGCCATGTGAGACGGTAAATTAAAGTGGACCCACTTTTTCACAAATTGCTCACACGTGCTTATGGTACATGCAACCAAGTGTGGCTGTTTTGTCCAGAAAAAGAAATGTATACCTCTAAGGCAATCAAGTACAAATTATTTAAAGCACATAATTCATGAAATACCGAAAATACCCTCCACTTCTGCTGAAGCACACATGTTGATCCCAAGCTCCTCCAACTGTGGCTTATTAATAGTAGGAATGCATCAATGTTATTTCATTCAAACATAAGAGTCGATATTTAGATTGAGATAGGGAAATAAATAATATTAGGTTATAATAAAAATATCACTATTATTATTCTTCATAAAGAAGAGAGTAATCCATCTTACATTTTTTTAAAAGCAATATACGTAGAATTATAGCCTTGCGTTTTAAAATCAAATATGGGCAGTTTGGTCATTTAATATTGCACATGCCCCTTACCTTAAGAGCCAAGTCTTGTTACGCGTCGAATTGACGGGCTCGATGCAACTTCGTTTGCTTGTCGCGTGGCATAACGATGAGATTAATTACTATTGGGATTAACAAGTACTACATTTGATTGAAAAGCTTATGTTGTATTAAATTACATATTTATATCATGCCATAAAGTTTGAAATTTTTGTGGACAGGTGGCGAATGAATTTTCCCGTTAGCAACTTAGCATGTTATGTGATTGTCCTGCCACTGGCCAGAGAATCATGTTAGGTTATTATATAATCACCAATTTTCTTACCTTTTCCCTGTTTGAATATGGCATTTTATTTCTCTCGAATTTACTTTTAGGTTCGATTATTTGCTTTTTTTGAATGATGAAGTTGGTTAACATTTTGAATTGAAATTTGGTTTCAACTTCAAATCTCAGCAAAAAAGTGAATTTGTATTTTACATGAAATGTGTGCTATGATTTCATCTAGATGGTGTTGGAAAAACAAGCGCTAAACAATACACGATAAGGTAACAACAGAACTATAGCCAAGTTAAAAGACACAAATACAAGCTCTAATGATACCAAATAAATAACTATAGGCAAGGCAAAAGTAATCAACGGAAGAGACACGAGGATTTAACGTAGATATACCAAGAGTAAGAAACCACGAGACCAAAGCTTCACTATATTAATAAGAGAGTTACAAAAGTTTTTCAAATGAATACAATATTAATATTAAATATGGAGCAACAATAGTGACTAGAATAACAACCAAACAAGAGAAGATTAAAAGAAAATATCAAAATTGGAGCTATTATTCACGACCCAAAATCGGGAGGTACAGGACTCCAAATCATGCTCTATCAATTTCTAGTCGAAGATCAAGATGTTGGAAACTGTAGATTCAAATTTCAGCTTGATTGGACAAGAAACAAAGTGGAGATCAAAGTTTGAATGTGACTACTCAAGCTAATTTTTTAGCAGAAAAAGCTACGGTCTCTCTATGTTGTACTAGCTTTGGGGTACGCGCTTTGCGCGTTGTTATTACCCCAAACTCTATCCGTAGAATGTCGTGATGGAACTTAGTCTCTAAAACTAGGTAAGTCGATTACTATACAATTAAGCCAGTTTTAACAATGATAATTTGAAATATAGTTTAACATAAATACCGGATCAAAAGCGGAATAAGCTTACGCGACAATAATCATAACAACCTCCCAAGATTTGGTAATACAGAGTCACGAACTCTAGCTAAGTACATGGAAAGATTTCAAGATCGAAATACAATACTGTTTCAATAACAAGTTAACAATACAATGTAAGGAAAGGACTCCGAGGGACTGCGACGACCAAATA